TAATTTTTTTATGGCCCTCGAAACCGAATAGTACCATTAAAAGTAACTAATTTTATGTTGTATACAGGAATATAAATTGCAAATACATTCATTGAATTAATATCTATATTCCGTGAACTATATTTTGATAAATCTCATTAAATAAAAAAATTCATAATAATAATTTCTTGCTCCGAAATTTGGGAGGTGTTATATACGGGATCTAACATGCCACATTTAATCCCTACAATTGTGTAATGTTTTGAGGCCAGAGAGAATTTTGAAATTGATGAGTCTTTCTCCTGGGAAAGGATGAAGTGGTGAAATTAAAATTTTAGCTACACATAGTCGAATGAAACTCAAGTGGAGTAAACAAAAAATGAAAAGAAAGTAATATACTTGTATTCAGTCCTAGCACAGGGTCAGTAAACTCGCCATCCTAATAAACATAATATTGAATCCTAGACAGTATGTAAATTAATCATAAAAATTATTGGTACTATTCCATTTTGAGGACCATAAAAGATTGCAGCAAAAATGTATGTGCAAAAGCGCCAAATCTAGCAAACGTGCCAAATCTAGCGTATGCGCTGATTTCAAATTGCGTAAGTTTAGATAGTTTTATATTTCTTAAGATGCCATTGAAATACTAGTTTAATTTTTAATCCTTTTTTGATATTTGATTTAACAATTTGGGAATTGCCCTTGACGAAATGTCTGCAATCCATGTACACATCGACCTATTTTCACTTAAAAAAAATTCCCAGAATTGCACAAAAATGGCGCTGCGCCTATATCACTTAAAAAATAAAAGAAAATTGACAAAAATCCAATTGTTTTTAACCCTTGTGAAAAGTGCCAAATAAATAAGTGGACGATTCTGCACTCAATCGAGAATTTTTTCAAAGAAAAGACATTATTCATTATGGAAAATTATGTTGGAATAACCAACGATATGAAATTATGTTTTAGTGATTACTTGGTTGCAAAATAGCGATGTAGGAATCCATTCAGTTTTATTTAGCTTTTTTTTTTTTATGTAAATTATAATAATGATCTCAAATAATTATTTCCTCTTATGCGTCATTCAGTTATGTTTAGATTTTTTTTATATAAATTTTAGTAATAAAAAGTATTATATGAAATTAACCTTTCATCTAAATTAAAACAATAATCTTTAGATAGTTATTTACTATCATACTTCCTTTCTTGCGTTAGGCACCAGCGGCCGAGCGGTTAAGTCGCTAAACACTGGTAGTTCGGTCCGAGGTTTGAATCCCGCGAACGGGCTGGCTGCATGGCTGTTTTTCGTGGTTTTCCCCATGTGTAACGTGTATACGAGCCAGTTTCCCTTAGAAAGTCCTCCACAAAGGCATCCCTCCTCTTAGGCAGATAGCCCTAGTGTGCTTTGCCATAATTAAATACACAATATCTTGTGTTAGGGTTGCCGCAATTTTTTTTGGCAGCACTGACATCAACAATAGTTTGGCGATTTTTACGGTCCTCAAAGCGGAATAGTACCAAATTATTACATCATAAACTGTGATAATGTAAAAAAATTCTCTCATCTTGCAGAGTAGAATTTTCCCAATTTGATGATCAATATCCTACAGGAATTATATCTAGTACTTTGTGGTTTTTTAAATTAATGTTTCACGCTTCATGCACAATTATTTATGAGAAGTAGAACATTTTCAAATTTGCTTTTACTGGGTCAAATGCAAGTCTTTTGAACTTGCCAATAGGTATGACCTTGTGCAAAGCTGAATTCTTTGGAAAGTGGTAGAAACCAAGGTATAAATTTTGACAGCTAGCCATTTCTAGGGTGTTTACATGATAAGTTGGCTGAGGAAGCTAGTTCGTAACAGGGTCAATCTGTTTTAATTTTCAAAAGTTAGAAAAGTAGTAGTAACTTGCGTGTGAATGTTCATATGTAGTAAAGCGGAAAATGATAGAAAACAAATTTCTAAAATTTCTTCTTTCTTTCTGGTTTTCTCAGATTCCTTCTCTTATAGTCACGTTAAAAACCACTGCCTTGTTCCTAAAAATTCATAGTAATAGTTTTTAACCCAAAGGGCCAATTTGCCCAGAAGGGCTATCAATTTTGTTTTGGCATTTTGCGTTGATGCACTATAAACAGGGAATCACTTTTTAAATTGTTGCCACCACATATTAGAGCCCTGTATTATATTTTAAGAAAATAATGAAGAATCTGCATAAATGTATGTATGGGCACCTGGAAGCCCAAATTTGGAGTTTGTTTTATTAACTACATTGTAAAACTTTTATGAGTTTTTGATAGAAACTCAACAATTTCAAAGCGAGCAACAGCAGCACTACCGGGAGGGGGGAACATTTTTACCTCCATTGCACGAGACTGTATCAGAAATTCTAAAGATGTGCTCTTTTAAATATTTTGTGATATTGCTGTTGACTTTTATGGTTTAAGTGTGAAGAGCATGATATTTAGTAAATAAAGGTAACACAAAAAACATTAAAAGACGCTCCTTTGAGCATATGGCGGGCACAAGTCAAATACCGAAAATCCGCCAACTCCTGAAATTCGCTCTCAAAATATAAACATTCAGTTTATAGGTTCTGGAAACCGCAACATTGAGTGCGAAATATCGAAGAAAAAATACTTACCGAGTAATAATGAGTCATAACGGAAATACCAAATTATTGACATCATGATTAAGTTTTTTCCCCTCTAATCTCAACATACGATTCACTCAACTCTTCTTTCAATCACGTTTCACATTGTTGTATTTTCTGTGTTCAGCATTATTTAAGCCTTTTTGTGTGTTTATTTCAAGAGATACAGATATTGCATTTCAGCATTGACTCCCGTTCACTTTCAATTACATTGTTGTATTTGTTTCAAATATTGACATCAGATTTTTAAGTTGCCAAGTTCCGTTTTTTGTATTTTTTGTTATTTGTGCTCTTTTTATATATTTTGGATAAATTCAGAATATTTTAAATTTCAGCCTTTTTTAATACAATTACAGATAAGAAATGCACTCATGATTTTACTGCTTGCTACGTTGGAAAATATAAACACATTGCATTGACTGTAATGCAAAAAGTGCAAATTCAGCAGAAGATGGAGATAGGTGCATATTATAGCAGAATCGTATGGAATAGCGACACGATTGTGTATGTTATGCGGAAAAATAAAGAAAAGCTGTTGAAATTTTACAGCTACAGTGATTCTAACACTGGAAATCTTTGCATGAGGCGAAATCGGCAAACCTTGATGCTGTGTATATATAATACAATGAATAATATAATCAATTTATGTATATAATATTAATTTAACGCATATAATAAGTTATTGCAATAACGTATATAATAATTTAATGAAATGTATCTAATATGCCTTATTTCTTTTGCACTTTTAGTCTGAATATTATGATTTATCTTTTCTGTCCTAAAATCTGCACAACCTCTGGTCCCAAGCTTTGCGGATTTCTGGACTTTTATTGTATAAACAGCATCATGAGATGTATGTAACAGGCTGTAGTCTGTGGAAGTCAGTGCTGTTGTGGTCGTCCCGTGGAACAATTGCTTGTCTCTTTCATACAGGAATAACTAGACTGACTACGTAAACAAGGAATATACATATAAGCATTTGATTACAGCTGAGCAGGTGACTGCATTATGTACTAAGAGTAATATTTGGAAAGATGCCTGCACCTCATCGATAACTGTTGGAGATAAGGTCCGTCCAGATAGCTGGATAAGACTGGTCACGGAACCCTTAGCCAGCAGGACCTTTAACTGACACATACATTTTTCTCTGGATTGGCAACAAATCCACTATTCTTCTAACTTTCAATTGTAAACAAACATGCCTGCCATAGTAAACAAAAATTCGGTTTAGCTGCTCTTAAAAAACTTTTAAGTTGTTGATATTTCTACAATTATTTCATGCAGGTTAACTAAAGGCATAAAAATCTTAACCAGAACAACATAATTCAATCATTTTTAAAGCAAAAAATGCACAATTTACAAACATATAAGAATAAAGAAACTGAGCTGAGTAACAGAGTGGATAGTACTTTCGGTGGGGCAGATTGTAATCAAAATGGGAGATGTACATCTACATGTTATAGCAGTCCTGTAAACAGAATTTCAACGTTCTGAGGGTATTATAGTTTTTGAGTTAAACAAGATATGTACTTACACACGCGATGAAAAAATCTCTTCAGAATTCATTTTAAATAAGTTTTATCATTTTTGGGGGGTAGAGAGTTCTTTATTCTGTCCTTACGTACAAATGTCACAAAAAAACATCGTTAAATTGCATTCGATAGCAGTAAAAATGGATATTTGCGTTGAAATATGATACCCGAAAACTTTAGTAATTACAATGCTTCCTTTTTACTTCGTACAAGGAAGTAAAAGGCGTGTCATGTTTTAACGTGTGACGCTATTGCCATATATTGATAATCAGAACTGTGCATCTGTTCAAAGTAACAAGCCGACATATATTACCATCTAGTATGTGAAGATGACAATTTTTAAAGCAAAATTTTCTACTCTGGCATAAATTGACATTTGTGGAAACTTATCTTTCAATGCTTTCCATGTCAACGTACCTATGTGAATTTAGCTTTACTGTAAAAGAGCATGTATTACTGCCTATGGGAGTATGCAAAATTGATAATGAATAAAGAAGTTTTGTAGTAGGTAACTTCTTTTGTTTTTATAAGCTATTTACATGGCTTGCACTTCTACAAACCATACAATTTTTATGCGACTATGCGCAGTCCATCATTATATTGCAGTTTCATTTTGTATGAGTGTAGATTTTCAAGGACAATTTGCCAAATTTTTGACTACATGAAAATTTTTTCTGTTCCCTTTATTCAATTTAGTGAAGTTCATCTGTGTGTATTAAAGTAGTAATTGAGAGTATGTAGCTGTATTCATTATATAAAATGTGTAATATTACATTTTTAATAAAATACATGTTTATGTGTGTATTAGCTGACTTGTGATTGAACTTTTTTCAGCACAAGATGTTTTTAGAAAATAAAATGGTAGATGAGAGAATATCACGGGCAATTGACAATGATCATACTGCAGCAATGAAAGCCCCTGGGGATAGTAAAAAGCATATGCGAAAGAAAAGTAAGACACATTTATATTATATGCATCTGTCAAGATTTAAGCTTATGTAGTCTTAAAATTATTTCTTAGCGGTGGAACTAATACATTGTGAAATAAGTGTAATGCATCATGTTGCTAAGAATGGAAATGTTTGGAATGGGAGTTTTTTAAGTGTTTTTCTGATCTATCAGCTGCATCTAGAATAATGTAGATCCAGCTGATGAGTTATGTATCACTAATGAAAATTCTTATTAGACAGTTTGCAAATAGTCTTCATGTGCTTCTCGTTAATCAATTATTTTTTATTTATTTATTTTTTGTTCTTACTGCAGAAAACGTTCTAATTAAGTTATATGGTTGGTTATTTATATACTCTATAGCTATTAATTTGACAACATTAGATAAGTTTTTTTTTTTTAATCATGGGGAAATGGTTCTTGCCATCAGTAATGTGATCTTATACATAAATGTATGTTTCAGAGATTATCCAGTATTAATGTCATTCATTAGAAAAACAACATTTTCAATTCTGCTAATATTTTTCATACAAAGGCCGTTTAATCATGAAATAATGAAGGATCTGCATAAATGTATGTGATATTTCTCGCATTCTGATAAAACAATGGTATCTAGAGCCCTCAAAAGTTGAATAACGTAATCTTACATAGAATATGGGCATGTGGAAGCCCTAATTTGAATTTGAAATTTGTTTTAATTATCAATTTCATATTTTGTAAAACTTTAACGAATTTTTTATTAACAAACTCGACAATTTAAGAGTGAGCAATGGTAACACTTAGGGGCGAAACCATTTTATCTCCAGCACACGGAGCTGCATATCAGAAATTCTAAAGATATGCTCATTAAAAATTATTTTGCAACATTGTTTAAGTGCAAAAAACATGATATTTAATAAATAAAGGTAACACACAAAATGTTAAAAAGACGCCCCTTGGACATATTTTAAAATCTGAAACTTTTCAGATTTTTTATTATTATTTATCAATTTATTTATTAAAGCCTGGTTAATCTGGAGTTGACTGTTATTTTTTTATTGAAACTTTTCTCCTTGTTTCCTATAGAGAAAAAAATCCTAACTCATTTAGTGGATAAAAAACATATAATTTGTATTGTTAATTAATGAAAATAGGAGTATAGCATATGTAACAGCATAGTTGTTATTTCTGTTGTAGAAGATAATCTACTTGAAATACATAAAATTAATATAAGATCAATGTATACAATTATACTTAACTGAAATTGGATCACTCATTTTGATCTCCATCCATTAGCAGTGGACTTTCTGCAAGGTTATTTCATTATTTTCCTTTTGTATAATTCTAATATTAGACAGTTTCCTATACACAAGTAGCTTTTGTATGCTTTGTTGTAATTCATTAAACAGTCATTCTGAATATGTAATATATCTGAGCAATATAATATTATGCATCGTATAGTTTAGGAATAAGGTCCAGTGCATTGTGCAGCAACACCACCACCACAGGTCCAGGGTTCGATCTCTGGACTGGGCAAGGTTGACTCATGAGTGGGTCAATAAAATTAGTACCACATTCACTTGGGGGCTAAAAACATGGGGTTTTGTGACAAGCTGACCACTTCTCCAGGGCATATGCTCATGTTACCCCGAGGGCCTATGGTCAAGAAAGCAGATATCAAGGCACTGCATGCCATGGCCCATTAGATCTGTTGCGATGCTGAGTTTAGTATAGCTTAGGAAACATTTGTTTAATCTTTAATCGATGGAAGACTGTAGTTAATTGCAGTTATAAGCTCAAAAATGTACATTTAAACTGTGCAGACGATTACAAATTGAAATACTACATTCTGAATGGAATTATAAAGAAAATTCTTACATGAAATACATCCAGTGGATATATGATACTGCTACTATTTCAAGCAAAAGATGAAGTTTTTAGAGTTTTCTGTATTGAAATCTTAAATTGTTTAATATACCTTTACAATAGTGTGGGTGTTCAATTTAAATAATGCCATTCAGTAGTTAATCTCAGAAATCTCAGAAAATTTTTAGGTCAGGGATTGTTATTTGAATTTTAGATTACTTTGTATCTCGCCAAATGAAGCCCCTTTTTTGGAGGGAGGATAATTTCTTTGACAATACAAACACAAGATTCTGTGAGGTCTTAAATTCTTCAAAATGCCATCTTGAGATTTTTTACTAAAATTCAACTTTGAGAACGTATTTCTTATAGTTACAATATTCTCTAAGTTGAATTGCATTCATCAATTTGACATTATTACTTGAATAAATAGATTATATTTGACTTTTTAGGTTTTTTTTCTTGTTGGTAGTCTTCTGTTATTGGGACCGGATTCATTTGTTAATATTTTAACTTTATAAGTAAGCAGAATCACTCTTAAGTTGTTAAATAATAGACTAATTCTATTAAGTGAATTTTAACAAATGAGCTTTTTCAGTATAGTATTAGATTTGTTTACTTTTTATGTAGTATTGCCACAGTTTTTCTTAATTTACTCATTAAAAAGCATTCATGTCCTTTTTTATGGAAATTTATTATCAAAGTGCATTTGAAAAAATACTGTTGCAATGTAGCATTCAAAATCGAGATGTATTATTTAAATAATAAAGTATAAAACTTGGTGGATACTTCTTTATTTGATGACATGAAAGATTTGAAAAGAGTGAATTTAAAAATATGATTATGAAATACTCATTTTAGAAATAAACTGTTTTAGAAAATAGAATTAGAAAACATGCTAAGAAATTTGAAAATTTTAAAACTTATAAAATATGATAGTGACACGTTAATAATTTGCTATAGATATTTGAATATTCTCAAGAAAAGAGATCACAGTATTTCTCTAAAAGTTGTAGTATGTTACTAGAAGTATTGACTGGATAAGAATATCCAGATGTAGTTAATTATTGGTGGTTGAAATGGCTTATAAAGTAATGGTATTTTTTCAATTTTTTTTAAATTATGCTTGCTGGAATATGATAACCAAAAATGAAATCTGCAGGAAGAAAAGTTCAGTGTTTGATGCCTTTGTAACAAAAAATATGCTAATTTTATTCAGTGTTTTTTTTCTTCTCTTTCTTTCTTACATGCTACTGTTACCTGTAATTAAGGCATCTATTTGTAAAAAAAAAAAAATTAATTCCAATTTATCTTTTGCAGCTTCTAGCTTGTATTCAACTGATAACATGATTACAGTCTGCATGCTGTGCAAGAAAGCTTTTAAAAATCAGCTCTTTTATCGAAAGCATTTAAGAATACATTCAGAAAAAGCATCTGTCTGTCCAATTTGTGGGAAATCCTTTGCAAAAAAACACATTTTACAGACACACATGCAGACTCATGGAAAGCATCAATTTCAGTGTCATTTGTGTCACAAGCGCTTTAGTCAGAAAGGTAATTTGAATCAGCATTTAAAGTTCCATACTACTAAAAAGACTTACAAATGTAACATGTGTGACAAAGATTTTTATCAGCAGGAGCATCTGAAAACTCATATTCGTCATCATAACAATGAGCGACCATTTGAATGCGAAATTTGTCACAAATCTTTTAATATAAAAAGTTCACTTCAACGTCACATGAACTGTCACACAGGTGAGAAACCTTTTATCTGTGATATATGTAACAGGGGGTACACTCGTCGATCAGTTCTTATGTTGCACATTCAGCAGGTGCATGAAAATAAGAAGCCTTTCCAGTGTGATGAATGTCATTTATGTTTTTCACAAAAGGGTAATCTCCAAGCTCACTTTCGAAGAAAACATTTGCAGCCTAAGTCAGAAGGTAAGCGAAGCAAAGACAAAGATGGAGGTAAAGGAAAGCGGAGTATTAAAAGACAGCATGGTAGAACTAATTCCAAAACTGTTAAAATATGTACCAATAAAAACTTTGTTTCGCATTTTCCGCATTCTGGTGAATCATCAAAAAGCAAATTGAACAAATCTAGAATGGACAATACTACACTTCACAGCTATGCAAGCAAGGTTAAATCCATAGTTAATCGTAATTCGAGAGCACAAGTCCGTATACCAGATGACCAAAAGATTGTAAACAAGTCCCCCTCTAAGTCAAGCCCTACTTATGAAAATGGGAGTGTAAAGGAACAAATGAATGGCCAGTCTACATCGTACAATTCTCTAAAATTCAATTTAGCGTCCTTTGATAACAGTAGCTCTTGTAGCCTTTCTGATGAAACTGTGGATATTGGTTGTAGTTCAAGCAGCAGTGAAGACATTCCAGAATTAAATTTTCCCAGTATCTTTGAAAATCATGCTGATGCACCATATGATATCAAGGCACTGCCTGATGATTTTGATGCTCTTCTGGATGGGAGAGGTTGGGAAGAATATATGTTGGTAGATACTGATAATATATTAAGTTCAGCACTTCCACATTATGATCTTTTATGTTCTCCTACTAAATCCAATATTGTATTATCAAAAACTTCTTCTGGTGGACCTGAAGAATTGTTCAGTATCCCTTGGAATGATGACTATACAACTAATCCATTATTTACTGCTGATGATTTAGATGAGATCAAAGATATATCTAGCATTTGTAGTGTTAACTCTACAATCCACAATACCTTGGAAGGTATAAAATTTGATCCAGAGAAAAGGGTTTATAATAACCAAAACTCAAAAACTGCCAGTCATTATATGCAAAAATTAAACCCAGCTGGATCATCTATACAAGTATAGACCTGATTTTTATAGCCTACATAGCTGTCAAACCCCCATCTTTTTATCTCTGGGATTATCCCAAATATATTCATTTTCTTATCTATAATATGGCTTATATATAACCTCATTATTGTGCAAGTACGTAATCTTTTTTGCATGTTTCTGCATGCAAAGTTTAAAATTTTTAACTTTATATTAAAATATTTTTTCTCATAAGGAATTTTTGTAATACTTAATGAAAAAATATGAAATTTCTTTATTTAACTGTCAAGAATCTTTAAATTTATTAAAAATAAATATTAATTCATAGTTATTTATTAAGTATTTCAAAGGTCAAGGTTTGTCAGCTATGTTTCTTGTATGTAGCACACAAAGTACCTAACACTGTTATCCCTATTACCATCCTGTAATAAATTTTCTTTTGAGAATGTGCCCAGAATTTTTTAAAACAAATCATCCATGCAAATTTGAAACAGTAAATGCAACTCATTCATTTAAATATACTCACCAGAGTTGTAACTATTAATGTTACTAATAACAAGCTGCTTTATAAAAATTAAGTCTCATTAAAAATGAGTTTTTTTTTTTTTTTTTTTTTTTTTTTTTTTTTATATTTGGACAGTAAAAATACTGTTATTTAAACAAAAATAGCTTTTCTAATGTTCCAGATATAATACATAATTAGCTAACAATATTATTTCAACAATTTTCGTCATTTTATCATGATTAAAGAACACATTATTCTTTAATAGTTTATAAAAAAAAATTTCAGCATTTTAATTTTGCTTTTCTCATACTTTTTAGCTGTTGTATTTATTTCTCAATTAAATTTCATAATCCAAATCGGTAACATCAGTCTTCATTTTTGTGGTAGAATATATATTAATTTGAAATTTGGGATTGAAAATAATAATGGAATTTCTTCTGTGTTTATACTGTAACTATTTTCACATCTCGTGTAAAAGTTTGAGGTTGATTCATTATTATTCTTGAAACAAATATATACCATTTATCATTGATTAGAAGTATTATTGATACTACTGCATAATCTGCCCAACGTTCCTGCAGAGTTGCCCGTTGTTGGAACTGAGTTTTTGCCAACCTGACATGTGAAAAGCAGTAGTCATTTTAAAACATGATTACACACTGAAAATTACAGCAGCAAAATTGAAAATGCAAGAAACATAGAATTGCATAAAGCAATTTCATTTCCCTCGGTCTTCTGACCACAGAGCGTTTTAACTTTATAAATTAAAAAAAGAAGAAAAGGAGAATTGCAGAATTCTTGGCACTGCTTTTAATGTATACATTTACCTGACTTTACAAAAAAAAGCAAATTGCATGAATTCGAAAAAAGCTATTATCGCAGGCATCTAAGAACATTTCATAAACTACTTCCATGCTTCAAGATTTCTATAATAATGTTATATTGGAGATAAATAAAAGTTAGCCAAATGCATGATTTTATATGCTTTTTATTACTTAATAATAATCATTCTGAACAGGATTTACATTTTTTCAGTTGGTAGATACTGTTCAGCTATTTGCTTTAAAATCTCTTCAAAACCACCTTTTTGGCTTTCTTTTCCCTATTGAATAGCATAAAATTATTCAGATGTTTGTAAAACACAACTTCATGGGATGTGCAATTCTACACTTAACAACTAGGTAAAATGCAAGTTTCTTTTCCATAAGCAGGCAGACTCTACAGCTGCATTATGAGTTGTTGCTGGGGGGGGCAGGGGAACACAACACATTTAGTAAGTTGCCTACTTCAGCAACATGGTACTTTGCTCGGTGTTCCTTGTCACGGTTGAGTGGATAATGCAATAGTACCAATAACTGAACTGAAATAGAAAATTTTATTTCATTATGTAGATTATTTTTGTAATTTTATAATGCTAATAGTAAACAAATATATGTGTGTTTGTGTGCATAGTAAGATAAATTGTATATTATATTTATGAAAGGCGGCATTAATAGTTTTGGTGTGACTGTATCATTTGAAAATTTGCAGTTATACAAGTTAATATCTACAGAGCTACCAACCCTCATTTCCCAGTTTTTAAGTTTATTTGAATATAAATCTTTTTCCGGTGTAGTTTTAGAATTAATGTATTAAAAGGAAATATGAAGATGATGACAAATTAAGAAAAATCTAGGGTAATGACATAGTACTATTTTAATAAACTTAAAATTGTATAATATGTATTTTTTTCAGGGTAATTTTCAGCTTACTTTTTATTTGATCTGATCTGTTTTAATTTGTTACATGGATAAAACACTTTATGAAGAATTAAATAATATGTAATGAATTTTGCTTTAAATCTTGCAACGATACATTATTAAGTTTATCTACATGCTTAAATGCATATTATTTCTATTGAGTTTAAAAGCATTTTGATAAGTAAAAATTTTCTTTTCAATCTTAAGTTTTTATCAGCACAAAATTTTAAGAAAATTACAAAATGGAATAATAAAATTAATGGAAATGAATTAAAACAATAAATTAAAGTTATTTAAGTTAATATATTCTTTCTCAGATTCATAACTAATGCAGTATACAGTGATCGTAAGTCAGATTTGCCAATTTGGAGTCCCTTTTTTTAAATTTCTGTATTACAATAATGTGAGAATGTCATTTTTTTATATTTCTAGTTGGCAGCTACACAGATAGCTCTAACAAATACTATATATAGTTTCTTAAAGGGGAATTAAATTATTATAACCATAATAACTAAATGTATGCCATAAAAATAGGTTAAAACATTGCAATGCGTTTTGGTTTTTAGAAAATTTCATGAAATGCTTACCAAGAATAAAATGTTTCCATTATTCAATGTGTACTATAAATTTTAATTAAACACAGTAACAATATTTGAATAAACTATCAAATACGAATATTCATAATACTGGTGTATTTTAACGACACAGTACTAAAAATTGACATATTAAAAACATGATTCTGTCATACTTTGTAATGATTTCCACTAACAGCCTAATTGTGCTTACTGTTCCATATTTAAAAAAAAAATTCTTTTGGCCAAGATTCTTATGAATGTTACTGGCAAAGTATGAAATACTTTACTTATGTATGACAAATGTTCTTTAGGCAAAGTATGAAAAAAAGGTCATGAAAAGGCTATTATTTAACTTGTTCTTCAAAAGTACAAATGTTTTGAAAAAAAAAATAATGGAAATGTCATTAAAAATTTATTATTCAAGATATCTGAAGAAAAATTAACCTATTTGTTGTAACATAGGCTTGAATGGCATTTTGAATTGATTCACTTTTTCACACAAAGACATTTCATATTTTGGTATTTTGTTGTACACAGAAGTTGGATTGAGCAACTGACCAGAAAGGAATTTCGTGGTCAGAAACATATTAAATTCTAAGCAAGTTATTAGAACATAAAATGAACTGTAATCTTGTACATAGTTTTAAAATTATTTCAGAATTTCTTAAGTCAGTAGAAACTACCCCATTGTCACACTCATTACTATAACCAATATATTTCACGAATTATTATATACTTTCCCTAGGCATAAATTTTGCTTTAAATCTTGCAATGGTACATTACTAAATTTATCTACATGCTTATGCATATTATTATTTGTGTTTGAAATCATTTTAATAAATATTATTTGATATTATATGCTTTCCCTGGGCATAAATTTATATATGTATATGAAGATGTATTTCATATTCCCATATAATATTAAGATGTTATATCATACTTTGCCAGTTTGTCATTTGGCATTCTGTGGAATGTCTTGGCAACATATGAAATATTTAATAGTTTCATATGCTGTTGGCCATTGTTTGGCATTCTATAAAATGCCTAGGTGTTCTGTAGAATGCCAGATTTCGTGCTTTGCCGGTAACATATATTGTTCAAATAAACATGTTTTTTAAATATGTGTGGATGGTTTGTAAATTTTTAATACGAAATTAAATTTAAACATATTAAATAAAACAACCAAGGAATTTTATACTATAAAAAAATTTTAACCTTTGTGAAATATTTCGATTATCAGGCAATTGGGAATTTTTTTTACGCATTTGTTGGTTTCAGTATTTACCTTATTTACCCCATTGCATGTCCAATATTTCATACTGTAAAATAAAGTATTATGGATGTAAATGTGCATTACATAAATCACAAGCTACTGTGTAATAAACAATATTTAGAAAACTTGGAATAAATTTATTGAAAATTTATACAGAAAAACATTTAGTAACAAGGGATATAGTCATTACAACTTAAAATTATGATACTCACTAATAAGTAATTAAAAAGGGGAAATATTAAATATAGAATAAGCATCTTGTAAAGAAATGATTATCAGCAGAATTAAAATTAATCGGGAAAGATAAGAATCAGGTAAATACTAAAAATTTGGTACTTTTCTGTTATAGGGACTAGATTCAGAAATGCATGCATGTATACTCATATGTATGTGCATACATTTCTGAATTTGGTCCTGATAGCAGGAAAAGTACCAAAAATTTTACGGGAGTCGGTTGCTCTTAACCTTTTCGGCATGCTACCTTTTAAAGTTAGAATTTTGACCAAAGGTAGGCAGTCTAAGCCCTAGAGGAGCACACAGGTAAAATTTTGTAAAGATATCACTTGTTGTTTTAGTTCTGTGGGTGTGCCTGGCAGGGCTATGGAGTCGGACAAATTTTGGGGTAAAAGGAGTCGCTAAAAACAGGTCGACTCAGACTCCAGTTTTTTTTGGACAGTTTGAATTTGGAAAAAAAAAAAATTAATGACAAGCTGCTTTATTTTTATTAATGGTCTATATTCATTAATAAATAGTTATTTTCTATTTTATTGACATATTAATAAATATAAGGGAGGAGGATGGATGTGATATTTGCCATTAGTGATTAATCTGATTCATTTAGTTATAAATCTCACTGGTAACTTTAGGTAAGCAGCAAGAACTTCGAAAATTGATGCCATTCTTAGGAAGCGAGCAGGAAAAGGAGCAATTATTAATCAAGCAACTCGATAAGGAAGATGATAAAGATGTTAGCATTAACTTTTTTAGATGTAGATAACCTTAGTGTTTCACTAACAGAAAGACTAGAATGATCTTGCAGAATTGGAAACACTTCTACACCGTATGTAGCCACAAAAAAAGCTGCAATCTGAAGAATTGACAGGAGGCGAGAATGGAAGCATGTGATGTTTGTTCATGTCCGAAGGAACAAACATGTGATGTTTGTTCCTTCTGAAATGGAGGGTTTATTGCAGAAGGAATCATTTCTTCAATGAAGATGACAGTGAGATCTTTCTGGGTTCAATATATGTAGATCCGAAACACCAAATTAACAAATTAAAAAGGCAAAGAAAGCCATCTATGAACTTTCATTAAGAATGAAATTATTTTTCAGAACATTAGGAGTATTCAAATCAAGACAGTGAAACTGCAGACATTGCAACTGAGTCTCTATCATCCTCTTTCAGTGATGAATTGGATTCTGAGAAATATTTTTCGATAATACTGAAAAGGCTAAGCGAATGAAAATAAAGAACCAAGAGCGTTTAGATGAAAAAAATGCAAACAAGATTTCTGCACGGTCTTTGAAGAAATAGAGAAATATGATTGTGCTTGCAAAACACCTCTTTTAGAACTTATAAAAATCTATCCTAAAAAGTTAAAAGAAGTAGCCCTAACAGTAACAGCTCTTCCTCCTATTCAAGTCAGTGTGGAAAGACTCTTTTCAGCTCTGAAGTTTATAAAATCGGATCTATTGTCCTTTATCAAAGAAAATCTTGCCAAAGCTGTACTGTCTTTTAAATTCCAGGAGTCGGTCATTTTCTCTACCAACTCCACAGCCCTGGTGCGGGTTCACTGAATGAATAGAGCTTCGAAAAGAGTTCTGAAGCGAGCATTGCTAGGAAGCACGTAATAAAGTAAAAGATTTTGCGTACAATTAGGAAAAAACACTAGATTCTAAATACCGTTGTAGATTTAGCATTACCAGGGAAGGCCTACTACTCTATCCACTCCCAAAAAAGCTCTTGGTAATATGATGCTTACATGCATATAAGAAAAATAGAAGTAACTTGGGTATATGATATTTACACTTTCATCTTTCTCCCCCCCCCCCATTGTGGGACTTTGTGAAGAAAGTGACACCACCTTTAAAAAAGCACAACCCAACATTGCATGTTTTGCATATATGTGGGATCCATATTGGATTCACTACCTGAAAGCAATTCATACACCACTTTCAGTGCTTCAGAAATGGTTAGCCCTCTCTGATCCATTTGCAAAATAATTAAAAATCAGAAAAAAAATAAACTAATATTATATCTACAATTAGAAAATGTAAACTATAAAATTAAATAAACATCTACAACTCAAAACGTAGTGCTAACAAAACTTCTTTGAAAGAAAGAGTGAAAAACCTAACAGCTGATAAAATTACCCTCCAAAAAGAGAAACACAGATGTGGACCCACCTTTCTGCTGTGAATGAGCTCACCAGAGAACTGCAGTGAAACAAAATGCATTTGTTGGTTTGATCGTAGTGTCTCAGTGATCCCACTCTTTGCACACCTTGCCGTTCGATTTTAAGCAATATTTCAAGGTAAAAATTTAAAACTAATACAGAATAAGGAGATTAGCATATAGGAAAGAAAATACATAGAAATTTCTTTTCAAACAATTCCTTTTATATGCTAAAAAAATCTGGAAAATTTCTGTTAAAAACTAAACATAGCTAAAATATATGGACTGGTTTGTGTTGTGCTGCCATCTAGTATAAATAAAGAAGGTTCCGATAAACCTATAAATCCTTTTTAATTCCATTTTTCTGTGTACACAGGGGAAATTTTAGGTGCCGCAAATAAATTTTCTACGATGCTACAAGAAAGTAGATCTATATTTAAAAGAAAATTTTCACAAATATCTCAGAAGGCATTAAAAGATCCTGTAGTAATGTCATAGTATTAATTTTTTAAATGTCAGAAGTTTTACTATGTGATACGCATTTTAATTTAGAAACTGTGCTGTCTATAGGACAGGTAAGTCCCTCCCATGAGCCCTTTTTAAAATTTATGTCTGCCTTTTTCTTTGGACTTAAAAAGTGCTACCACTTAATATATACATGCCTGCATAATTAATGGTTTAAATTAATAAGAATTTTCTAAAGCTAGTATGATTTCAGCCGAGAACCAATAACTGAAATCAAATATCTATAAAAATTTCCCAATTTGATGATCAATATCCTACAGGAATTATATCTAGTACTTTGTGATTTTTTAAATTAATGTTTCACATTTCATGCACAATTATTTATATTTTCTAATTCTATGAGAAGTAAAATATTTTCAAATTTGTTTTTAAAGGTCAAATGCAAGTCTTTTGAACTTGCCTCTTGCAAAACTGCATTCTGGGAAGTGGTAAAAACCAAGATATAATTTTTGACAGCTAGCCATCTCTAGGGTGTTTACATGATAAGTTGGCTGAGGAAGCTAGTTCGTAACGGGGTCAATCTGTTTTAATTTTCAAAAATTAGAATTTAATTTTTACTTACAAATCATAAGTAAAAAAGGCAAAATTGTAAGTAAAAACATGAATTTTCAATAATACAATGAAATCACGCACACAAAAATGTATAAAGAAATTATTTACAATGTTAAAAGCTCAGTAGGCCGAAGCTGAAGATACAAAATCATAACATTTCGGCAGCCAATGAATTTTAATCTGCATTTCAATAGATTTCTTGCTTTATCAAGCAATGGCAATCAAAAGCAGGTGGAAAACACTCAGTGGCGTAGCAAGCATAACTGGCGCCCCCCCCCCACACACACACAAAAAAAAAAAACTTTCAGTAATATAATGTATAGAATATATTCGTAATAAGAGAATAATGCAAATAATAATAAAATGCTAAATCTACCATAAAATACTCAAAAATATATTAAGTATAGTCACTGCCTAACAACACTAGCCTTGGATTCGGAAATGCATCTGTGTCGGCGGAAAAATCGGACATACGATGATCTACAATTAGTTAAAAAGGTGTTATTTATTTTACATATTTATCTAAGTATTTTTAAAAAGTACAATTTTTAAACAAAAGTTTAATACAGTCAAAAGTCTTTAATCCAGACTTGTCGGGACTTCGGCGATTCCTGATTATAGATCATCAGTTTAAATCTGGTAAGATGGCATGCAGAAATTATAAAATTAAAAATATGAAACCGTAGTTTATAAAATAATAAGCAATTATGATCTAAAGGGTATCAAATTTACAAAAAAAGAAGCGTAATATTTATTTGTTTACTTTATTAAACATTTCTTTCAACGCGCATGCGTACCTTACGCATAGCCGACATTAGAAAATTGCAACCAGAAAACTATTTGATTTGTATTCGTGATATTTATAATGTCGAGGAATTTGATTTAAATCATATCAAAGACGGAGTACATCGAGATTAAATACTACATTTAGTAAGGAATTATAAGCCGAATAAAATAAAAACATCTGCCCTGAAGATAACGATAGTGCTGACAGATCAACTTCCAGTTCATTACACGCCGCGACGTCCCCCCCCCCCCCGCGCAGAGCAGCATGAAATTGATAAACAGATTTCGGAACAGTTAGATAAACAAAGGATATACCTTTATCCATTTTTTGTAGCAATTCGTTTTTTGTTTGATGGACATCGAATCATACTTTCGTTTTCTAGATCCTTTGGGAGCTCCAGCATCGGAAATTCTATTTGACATAATCGAAAGTTCAAGCTTACTTTTATAAAATTGCTCTTACAGTGTGCAAAAAATAATAAGCCGGATCCAATTCGAAGTTTAAGGGACAACACAATCATCAACATTAACTGAAATAGATAATTAGATAATTTTAGCTTATACCGTCCGTTATACATTAAACGTGCACGCGAAAACGTATTCTGCACTTACGCAGACACATATGCGCAGTCGTAAATGTCTTGCGCATGAGCATGCGTCAACCCGTCGCATGCGCAGAAAGATTTTAGCATTGAGGTCCGGATTATGGGTGTCCGAATTAACGACTTTTGACTGTATACATTATAGATAAACAGATGTGGCAACTTGCCTACTACAACTCAACTCTGCCAGTCCGGTAACCCACAGCAACCAAAAACAAAATAATATTTATTCTATTCAATTGTCATAATTATTTAACGATCTGT